GAGGATATTTGGTCTTCATGAAATCCTCCTGTTCCCACGTAAACTCGGGCCCATGCTTAGAATTCCAACGAACTTTCACGATCGGTATTTTACTTCGTTTTAGTTTCTTAACCTCTCAGTCGAGGATCTTAATGAGTTCCTCCACGAAGTTTAGACAGTCGCTAATTTGGAGGTCCCCAAGAGGTATGTGTAGGGATGCCTCCGCCAAGCACTTTTTGAGGTTCGACACATGGAATGTGTCATGTATCGCACTCAGTTCATCTGGTAGCTTGAGTGTATATGCCACTGGACCGACCCTTTTGATAATTTCAAAGGGTCCTACTTAACGGGGACTCATTTTTCCTCGTTTACCAAAGTGCACGACTCCCTTCCATGCGGATACTTTTAAGAGTACTTTGTCTCCCTTTTGAAATTCCACGGGTTTCCTACGCTTGTCAGCATAGCTCTTCTGGCGATCTCGTGCAGCTTTTAGTCTATCACGTATTATCGAGATCTTTTTAGTGGTCTCTTGAATTAAATCCACTCTCGTTAACTGCCTATTGCCAATTTCCAGCCAACATAGTGGGGAACGGCATTTACGCCCGTACAAGGCCTCATAGGGGGCACACTGAATGCTCGTATGGTAGCTATTATTATAGGATAACTCCGCTAACGGCAAATGGTTAAACCAATTTCCTCCAAAGTCGATCACGCAAGTCTGGAGCATATCTTCTAACCTCTAAATGGTTCGATCGCTCTGACCTGGGGATGATAGGTGGTACTTAAGTCTAAATGTGTCCCCAAGGCCTTTTGAAGTGGCTGCCAAAATCGAGATGTAAAACGGCTATGTCTATTTGAAATGATGGAAATAGGTACTCCGTGGCATACTACGATCTCGTCTATGTAAATTCGAGCAAGCCTTTCCATTCGGTAATCATCTCGAATGGGGAGAAAGTGTGCGGATTTCGCCAGTTTGTCCACCACCACCCAAATAGAATCATGTCCCTTCGCGGTCCTTGGCAACTTAGTAAGAAAATCCATGGATATTTGCTCCCATTTCCATTGAGGTATTTCTGGTTGCTAAAGCAAACCGGAGGGATTTTGATATTCAGCTTTCACTTTGGAACAAGTTAAGCATTTGCCATTATACAAGGCAATATCTTTCTTCATTCTAGGCCACCAATAGTATTCCTTTAGATCCAAATACATTTTTTCGGCTCCAGGTTGGATCGAGTATCGGGAATTATGGGCTTCCTTTAAAATTACCTTACGTAATTCGTCGATCTTTGGTACCCATACTTTATTTTTGAAGTATTTCACTCCATCCGAACGTGTTTCAAATCGTTGTTCTAGGCTGTGCAGAGTTTCACGTTTCAAGTTCTCAGTTTTTAATGCTTATCCTTGAGCAACAAGGATTTCGCTCTTCAAACTGGTCTGAATAAGGGCTCCGAAGGCATGTTCTCGTGAGGGTTTCACCCTTTCCTTCCTACTCAACGCATCGGCTACAACATTGGCCTTTCCTGGATGGTATTTAATTTCACCATCGTAGCCGTTGAGTAATTCCACACACCGCCTCTGTCTCATGTTAAGCATCTTCTGATCTGATATGTGTTGTAGGCTTTTGTGATCAGTAGAAATAGTCCACTTAGTTCCATACAAGTAATGTCTCCAGATCTTAAGGGAGAATACCACCGCTCCTAATTTTAGTTCGTGGGTTGTGTAGTTTTTCACATGAACCTTCAACTGCCTTCACGCATATGCAATAACCTTGCCTTTCTGCATCAGTACGCAACCCAGACCTTGGTGTGCGCATCCTAATACACTGTGAAGTTCTCCACACCATCTGGCAAGGCCCAAACTGGCATTACACAACTTATGTTTCAACAATTGGAAGGCATCTTCCTGTGGTTCTCCCCATACAAATTTCCTATCCTTTTGGGTCAGAATAGTCAATGGTTGGGCAATTTTGGAGAAGTTCTCAATAAAGCGCCTATAATAGCCCGCCAATCCCAGAAATTGTTGAATTTTCGTCGGGGATCTTGGGGTTTCCCATTTCTTAATTGCTTCAACTTTTGTGGGATCCACGTGTATTCCTTTTTCTCCAACCACATGACCAAGGAATTGTACTTCCCTAAACCAAAATTCGCACTTAGAGAACTTTTCAAATCATTTTTGGTCTTTTAACAGTTCCAAGACTAGCCTAAGATGTCGTTCATGCTCTTCTTTGTTTGGGGAATAGACTAGTATGTCATCAATGAACACGATCACAAACTTGTCAAGGTACTGCCTACAAATCCTATCCATAAGATCCATGAAGGCAGCTGGCACGTTAGTTAGCCTAGAAGGCATAACTAAGAATTTGTAGTGTCTGTAACGAGTCCTGAAGGCGGTTTTAGGAACATCTTCGTCGCGTACCCTTAATTGGTGGTATCCCGGTTGTAGATCAATCTTTGAAAAGTATGAGGCACCCTGGAGTTAATCGAACAAATCGTCTATTCGAGGAAGGGGGTATCTGTTTTTGATAGTCATTTTGTTTAGTTCTCTATAATCGATGCACATTCTCATCGATCCATCCTTCTTTTTCACAAATAAGACCGGTGCGCCCCACAGTGAGGAACTTGGACAAATGAATCCTTTTTCCAAAATTTCCTAAAGTTGGCCCGAAAGTTCTTGCATTTCAGAAGGTGCCAAGCGGTAAGGTGCTTCAGCTACAAGTGCCGCTCCAGGAATTAGGCCAATTCTGAATTCGACTTGGCTTGTTGGGGGGAGTCTGGGAACTATTATGGGAATACTTTGGGGTATTCTCGCACTATTGGAATGTCCTGAATATGTTTTTCTTCCGAATTCTTCTCCACTACATGAGCCAAGAACGCAAGGTACTTCTTCCTCAGATATTTGTGAATCTTCATGCATGATACTATCTTCAATGTTTTACCTGGTTTCTCTCCATACACTATAAGGGTTTCGGTTTTTTGGAGGGGTATTTTGACAACCTTCTCAAAGCATCCTACGTCTGCTCGATTCTTGGACAGCTGTCCATTCCAATCACTACGTCAAATCTTCCCAGTTCAATGGGTATAAGGTCAATACTAAAACGTTTATCAGCTAAGTTCAAGGTACAATTAGGAACTATCTCCCTAGCCTTAATTTCATGACCGTTAGCAACTTCAACTACGTAGGCATGTTCCGATATTTTTTATTTCAAGTTGATTAGGGCTCTAAATTCATGTTATACAAAACTTCTATCTACCCTAGAGTCAAATAATACTGATGCATAGTGGTTGTTTAGGAGTAATGTACCTGTTACCACCTCCGGCTCCTGGCGGGCCTCTTCCACCTAAATCACAAATGCTCGCCCACGAGCCTGGCCTCCTGGATTTCCACGGTTTGTATGTCCCGTCTGGTTCCTAGTATTATTGTTGTTGGGGCCCTTATTTAGATTCGGGGAGGCATTCCCAAAGTGGTCCACACTTCCACACTCATAGCATGCCCGTTTACCATCCTTGTGATCTTTGTCTATCCTGCAATATTTTGCGAAATGTCCTGTTTGATTGCACTTGTGGCAGACAGGGCAGGCACCCTCATGATGATAGCTGCATATCTCACACTTAGGTTTAGGCCCTCGGTATTGCACAGGTTCCTCTGTTTTAACCCCAAAGTTCCTTGCCCTTTTCTTGTTCTTGTCTGAGTTTTCATTCTTCTTCTTTCCCAATTGGTTCTCCGACTTTCTTTTGTTACTTGCGTTGCTTATGGTCAATATCCCAACCCTCACTTTATCATTCGTAAGGCGGTGTTCCAGGTCTATAGCCCTATGGATTGAGGTAGGATTTGCTGAAGTAACAATGCCTCGTATTTCTAGTGCTAAACCCCATATGTATCGGTCAATCCTCTTGCTCTCAGGGGTGACCATGTGCGACACTAGTTCAGCGAGTTCATGGAAACGCACAGTGTAGCCTTCCACATCGGATCCTACCATGGCATGGTTCCAAAAGTCAGATTCCATTTTCTGGATCTCATCGTTATGACAATATTCCTTCTTAAGTAACACTTTGAATTCCTCCCAAGCTAATTGGTTCGCTGCCTCCCTTCCACGGTTCCGGATTTGCGCATTCCACCACGTTAAGGCTCTGTCTTGGAGAAGGCATGAAACATAGGGAACCTTGCAGTCATTTGAGCATTTGTTGATGTAGAGTACGACCTCTATTCTTTCTATCCATTTCAAGAATCCCACCGCATCCTTTGTTCCATGAAACTCCTTGGGTTTAAAAGACATGAAGTACTTATAGGTGCAGCCCCTTGTTTCCTCATTACGAACCCCACTTCCATCAGTGTTCACAATAGGTGTAGGGCCTCCACGGTTTGTCTGACTAGCATTGATTCCCGCACTGACTTGAGCCACAATGTTAGGGATAGCAGCCATTAGTTGTTGTGAAACCAGTTGAGCAATATCGGGAGTGGAATTCTCAGGTTGTGTTGGGCTTGAGTGGGTGTTTCTTCTTTGGGGCATGGTTCTATAACACACAAACAAAATTAAGGACATTATTATTATTATTAAGTTTTTTTAAAGAAAATAATAATAAAATATATATTTTCAAGAAGGATTTCAAATCCTCAAAACAATTTACAGTTCATGAACAATATTAGTGTGAAATAACATGGTGATTGAAAATCATTGAAATAGATTTCATTTGTAGTTCGGAAATAAAAGGTTTAACGAATCGTATTGCTTGACATTGCAAGCTACAAAAGACACTTCAATCATAGTTGTCAAAAGCCATAAACCAAAGGCATTACATCAAAATACATAGACCAAAAACTGTAAAACATAAACCATGACATTTAGAATTAACCCCAAAACATAATCACCCAGACAAGTGCCACTGCCAGGATCAATGCTAGCCCTCCCGCGATAGCGCTAGTGATCATAGCCCTAATTGTCATCCTCCTGGCGGAGTATGCATAACCACACACCACATCCACCACCTTCGACATGTCAGTAATGTTGTGATGATGATAAGCAATCATGCTACGAGCATCATGCAAGTCTCGGGCATGTCCTCCATGATGCATTGCTCCTGATAAGTCATCCCGGGTGCACGTATAATAGGCATCCCTATGACTGGGGGTCGAGGCTGACTGGGTTCGGGATGCTCGTTCCTTGGTGCGGGAGGGGCTGACACAGGTTCCAGATGCTCTAACCTCAACACTTCTCTCGGAATTGATACGCTCTTTCTCGTTGTCCTCCTATGGCATAGTCCGTAAAGGGGAGATTGCGGTGTCGGCTGTCGCGAAGGCTCGGGTATCGACGGGGCTGAAGTCTCCTCAGTCGGTGTCTGGCTGCTCACTTCTTCCCCAGTCTCCGATCCCGTAGATGAATCTCCGATCGGTTCGATGCTCGAGTCGCAGTTGAGTCTTGGGCGTGGAGTGACGTAACCCGACTCATCTGCTGATCCAAGTGCTTGAGAGCTAGTGTTTGACATGGCTACACTGTATATAAGAAAATATAATGTTTAGATGAATTTTTAGCATTATAACAAATTTATATTATGTTTGATGTTTACATTTATCCTAGGGTGTTCATACCATTCACTATAACCAATTCCGGTCTTGCACTAACTCTTCCTTAATTATGCATAGGTGATTTGGCTATGTATAATTAAAGGTCCAATAGTGCACTACCCGATTTAGTTATACTGGATGGTATGTTTTAATAACTCAACGGTTATAGTTTAGTCTTTCCCATGGGAAAAGGGCAAACCGGTAATCTCTATAACCTTAGGCTCTGATACCAAATCTGTCATATCCCGCTAAAGCGGAAACATGAAGAGTGACAGGCTAAGGTCTCATCACAAAAGGTAAATAGGAGTACCAACCATAAACATTAGGCGTTTTAAGTTTACATCGCGTACAAAATAAATACATTCAGTTTTCACAATACATAGTTTAATACATAACAAAAGCAACAACTTAAATCATGTTGGTGTCTGAAAAGCATGCAAAAGCGAGGGTCAACTATCAAATAGTTGGTGGGTTCACAGGTTTATAATAGTACATTGTTTCGACAAGAAAATATAGTTTGTTCAATAAAAGTTCTAGTTCAGAAAATGATGAATGCCATTGCATTCCGTTCACAACCAAGCCTAACGACCGCTCTTGCTCCATTCCATCATGTGCATGGTTCCCATGATGTCCGTTCATGGAAATATGCACTCGTGGTTCTGGGCGAGTGGTGTAACATCCGGAATTCCAGGTATTATATTTTATCATTTATTTTTGAGAAAAGAAAGGGACTCGACGAGTCGAGTCGTAGACTCGTCGAGTAGGACCGCGAATGCTGACTGGATTTAATGAATGGACTCGGCGAGTTGATGCATGGACTCGGCGAGTCCGTGCTGTAAAATGAAACCCTAAATCTCAGGGCCTGAGCCCTATTTAAAGGCCTTTATGGCCTCCATTTGCGGCTACCTATCCAGAGAGAGTACCCCTTGAGAGCTTGAGCGAGTTGAGAGGGAGATAAAGCCATATTGATCGATTTTGGTGTAACTTAGCAAAGGAGAAGTTGTTTCCAGCAAGAGGAGGTCAAGGGAGCTGTGGATCTAGAGTTTTCAAGTTCAGATCTACGCTGTTGAGGTATCTAATCGAACTCCTTTTTCTATTTTGGGTTAAGATCTATGATCTAGGGCTTCCTTTGCACCATTTTGAGTTAGATTGTGAAGCTTAGGGGGTCCCTTTGAGTATATATGATAGATCTAGACCTTGAGAGGTCCAAAAGGTCCCAAGCTTCCAGCTTTGTGAGGTTTCATGTGAGCCTTGAGAGTAAAATCACATTTAAAAGGTTATTCCTCCATTTTTGGTCTTATAAGCATTGCATGAACGTAAAGTTTGAACCTTTACGTGACTTTCGAGTGTTAGAAGGACGGATCTACTGTTTGGTGAAGCAGATCTGACCTCAAGAGATCTTTTGAGAGTTTTCATGGGAGGAACTCGTCGAGCCCATAAGGGACTCGACGAGTCGAGTCGGGTTGCCCCCGCGACTCGCGACCTGTGGCGACCCGTGGAGTATAGGGTTGACTCAGCGAGTCAAGTGAGGACAGGGGCGAGGAGGACAGGCATGTACTTGCTGAGTCACTCTAGTGCACTCGGCGAGTCCGGTCAATGTTGACCGTTGACTTTTGTTGACTTTTAGGGTTAGTCAGTGTTGGGACTTATGAGCCATTAGAGGGGCAGAATGGTCTTTTACCCTTCTTAGAGAACTTATAGAGAGGGGGTGGCCTAGCCTTTAGAAGTTGTATTAATTAGAGTAATTATTTATGTGATTAGGCGAAGGCTAGTGCAGTATTTCAGAGTTCGAGGTTTACCGAGTTACCCGAGGTGAGTCTTCTCACTATACATTACCTAGAGTGGTATTTATGTGTAGACCAGAGGGTCTTGTATGCTATGCGTATATATATGAGTTACGTGCATTGTGTTATATGTATGCTATGTGTTGAATAGACCGGGCCGGAGGGCCCAACGATATAGACCGGACCGAAGGGTCCAACGACACAGACTGGACCGAAGGGTCCGACGAGCTATGACCGGACCAGAGGGTCCAACGAGCTACGGGACTGGAGGGTCCCGCTGAGACACATCGACCGGAGGGTCGTATTGTAGCCTCGAGTGACGTATGCGTTGCATGTGGTCTTTTGGGGACTCACTAAGCATTTATGCTTACAGCTGTTGTGTTATGTGTTTCAGGTACTAGCGAGGATCGCGGGAAGGCGCCGGCATGATCCGTACACACTGAGAGGATTTATGTATTCGAGGATCTTGGGATTTGTTTATTGTGAAACATGTGATACTTTGGGTTACTATGATATTTTATGAACGAAAGTATGTTTTTAAAATGAAAAATTGTTTTGAAAATTTACGTTGTTACAAGTGGGGGCTGTCGACCCCAAATAGCGCTATCCATAAGACCATCGGCTCGAATATGAGTTAATAGGTTGTATCGGTTCTCCGGGGACTTAACATACAAGTTCATAACACCAAATTCATAGTACAAGTTCATAATAAAAGGTTCAAACAACAAAGTTCATAGCACAAGTTCATAAAATAATGTTCATAGAAATTCTAGCATGATTTCCACCCCAAAACATTAAAAACGTAAAATAGGGGCTTTGAATACTCATAATGGAAAGTTGTGGCTCGGGCTTCGTAGGTTGATGGTGATGAGTACGATTCCTAATAGCGTCCTACGGAACAAATAGTTTCTAGTGAGATATAATTTACTAAACTATTTTCTAGGAACTATCTATCCAACTAGTGGTGTCGTAAAAGTGCCCAAGTGTGTACGATTCATTATCGATAACATTAATTCATAATGCATTGTGTTCAAATTTCACAAACGCATGGAAATAAATTCCAAAAATTGGTTTTCTAGTTCTAACAAAGGACATTGTTGTCCTGAAAATTTGTAGACATTTTTTAAGGTCATTTGATATTTATTTGTAAATTAAAACCCAATTAATAGAGAAAACTCAAAATAAATGGTAAACAATTTCTAAAATTCTGAATTTAATTTGTACAGGTTTTTATAATGTTCCAAAGGTTGAGAAAAATATTGGTTAGGATTTTTGAGTCCAATAACCCGAATTTATAAATTCATGCTCCAATTTAATGAAAAATATTGATAAAATATCAAACAGTTTCCAAATTGTTGGAAACTTTACATGGCTTTCTTATTATGTAAATACATTAATAATAAAAAAATTTCAGGTTTTTATCTCTTCTAAAAACGATTATTTTGAATTTATAGCCATTACATCACTATTTTTATAGAAAAATAAGGAATTGGTTCTAACCCTTGGGGTTTTACAGATCATCACTTGTGTATATGAACTTTCATAAAACAATTTTGTTCAAAATATATTTAGACGCAAAAAAGGGGTATTGAACCCCAACTAGTTAAGCAATGTTGCACAATATAGTGCATGAGTTCTAGATGTAGCTGAAAGTTCACGAATTTGTGTAGAAAATTCTGTGGGGTTTTAATCAACGAATTTTTAGGCATTATTCGTTGGACATGTTAAGTTTCTAAACTATTTTTCCCCAGATTTAAGGTGGGGTTTAAGACCCTTGATCATGTAAATCAAAACTAATGATCACAAAAAAAGTTCTGTTTGCGCAACTGTTTTGTAAAAATTGTAAAAAAAATCAGATTTTTAATGTTTTACAGTAAGACCAATTGGGTTTGAAAGCTAACTCAAGGAACTAGCCTTCAGAAAAATAATATCGTGATTTGGTTTAGTAATGAGTGAGTTGTGCCCGTTCAAATCTGAACAAAAATATTCTGACAGAATGCATGTCATCTTTGGTTGCTTTGAGTGCTCCCTAAGGGTCACTTTCACAAAGACAACATGTATATTTCTTTTATGGTCGAAAAAAATAAAAATAAACTAGAGTTTACAGAAGAACAACAAACTTTTAGGTTCATGAATCCAAGCCATAAATTTAGGGTTATCCAAGGCCCCAAGGTGGGTGTTTCATTCTTGTGAGAGAGAACTCCTTGGAACCACCGAATCCTACACTAGGATTGCACCACAAATCCGATTTCTAGCACATGCATGGAGTGAATAAGCATCCAAGATGTACTAGAAATGGTTTAATTGGTTTTTGTTATGTAGAATACAAAAGAAATGAAGAAGGAGATGTAAAACCCGATTTTTGAAATCATATGAACATATATGCTTCTTTTCACTCTTAGCATGGGTTTGATCCCGGATTTTCACCATCTCAAACACGTGTAATGTGTTATGGTGAGAATCTAAAAACACCAAGAGGAAAAAAAAACAAGGATTTCTAGCCATGAGAGGGCATAGAGTCCGAGTTTAAGAAGAAAAATTGCAGAAACTAGCATAAGATGAAGAGCTTAATGGAGGGGATGAAATCTTTTACCTTGTCTTTGAGTTTGAAGCTTCAAAGGACACTCCAAGGCTTCAAGATCTTGTAATTTGGATGAATGTTGCTGGAAAATCTAGAGAGAGTTGAAGGGATTTTGTGTCTAGGTGAGTGAGAGAAGGTGGAGTGAAGGAAGAGGAGTAATGAGTAGTTAAAGGTGGATTAAATGTTAATTCAGAGACATAAAGAGAGAGAGAGAGAGAGAGAGAGAGAGACGTATTTTGAATGGGGAATAGGAGAGGGAAGGATCTATTCTTGGTATTAGGCATGATCATAAAAACCTTTTTTAATTTTTAAACAATTTGATTTTTGAAATGGATTTTTAATTCCTTTGTGTTTGCCTTATAATTTAGGTTAATAAAACTTGTGTATTTAACCTAACTAACTCATAAAAATGGTTAGTTTATGATTTGATTTATTTATTTATTTATTTTTTTAAAAAATTAATATTTATATTGTCAAATAAATGAATTTTAAAGGTTCATAAGATGGAATATAGGATTAGGAAATCCTTAACTCTATACTTTGACTCATAATTCAA